TTCTCAACTAGAACACCGAGCTCTGCAATTGCAATGAGAGTTTAAGAATTAAAAATGCATGAGAATAAAGAGTTTTTCTCTGAAGAGGAGTAAGTATTTTGTACCTCCTTGGCAAGTGTCTTTTCGTTCCTGTAAGTTACTAATTCTACCCTCACCTTAAGCCCCTCCCTCTCACATCTCCAATGGTTGAAACAAGATTTGATCAATGTGAGAAGAACTGCATAATAAAAATCACCACTCTGAAGCATAAGACAAAGCTGTGCAATTAAGAAACAAGAGGATTGTGGGTGTTGACAAGAAGTAAAATTTGTTTGTCATCATCATTATTATTGTTTTGTGTTAGTCAATCCAACTGCCATTCTCTGTATCATCTCCATAACCCATTATAGGCAGCATCATTTATTTGCTCCTCAAATCTGCCCTCACAACCAGCTCAACTCATTTAATTGCAAAACCAAGAGCGGTTTAGAAGCATGTCTAGATGGAGATGGCAAGACCCCACAGGCCTGGCCCGGCCCAACCCCCATGGCGGTCGGGGCCCGTTACAGCTATGAGGGGTAAAACCCAAGCCCGACCCAATGGGCTTTTTGTAATCCTAGTCTCAACCCATTTTTATAATTTTAATTTTAGAAACATCTTTTAAATACTAATCTTAATAATTATTGTGAAATAAAATAAATTTCAATTCTTTTTTATATTTTTAATTTTAGAAACAGTTTTAAATATTAATTTATTTTTAAATACTTACCAAATATATAAATAATAATTCACCCTCATTTCTTTTTATATAATTTCCATTTAGAATGTATATATATGTAAGATAATTATGTAATTAGATATATATTATAAGAATAATTTAGTAAAATTGTCAGGCCGGGTAGAGATTGAAGATTGTCTCATGCCTGGTTCGTACCCAAGGGTGGGCCCTAAAATTAGTCTCAAGCCCAAGCCCGCTAACACCGGGTAAAGCCTGACCTTTTTTGGTCGGGTCGAGTACCCGAAAATACCAAGCTCATTGCCATCTCTATGTCTAGACATGAAAGTCCTAAAATGCGTCTATTTGATTGAATATATATATATATATAATATTATAGAGAGAGAGAGGAAGGAGAGGGGAGAGAGAGAGAGAGAGAGAGAGGCGGACCCAACCCTTGGGTAGGCCCTATCCTCATTTAAAAAAAAAAAAAAAAAAAAAAAAGACCCAAAGTATCAGCACTTAATTAAAGAGGATGTGGAAAAGCAGAGAAAGTAGTGTCTTGATATAGTGATGGTTTGATTGACTTGAATCCCGTACCTTTTACAGATTTGTCAACAAATGTTAAACATAATGTTCAGGATAACCAACAGGATTTAAATGATGCAAATGCTTCTATGCAGGTTGAGATAGATTATCAGACTATTGATCAGCTTCCAGAACCAAAAATTTCACTCAGGAGGTTTACTAGAGACCAAAGTTTTTTCACATGGTATTCTACAAATGAGTATATATTATTGACTAACGGGGGAGAACCTCAATTTTATGTAAAAGCAACGGAAGACGAAAACAAGACAAATTAGGTTAATGCTATGCAAGATGAGATATTGCATTTGACTTACTTCGACTTGAGCTGTAATTACTCCGAAGGACATCAGATTTCTCAATTTCTTGGTTCTATAAGTAGTTAAGATATCTTAATCTCTCTTTTTCTGGATTCGGGGGAATGATTCCTCACCAACTCGGAAATCTCTCTAATCTGGAACATCTTGATCTCGGCTGGAATGAATATTCTCGGGACGCTGAAAATATTCAGTGGCTATCTGGTCTTTCTAGGTTGGAACATCTTGATTTTAATGGCGTGAATCTCAGCACATGCTCTAATTGGTTGCAGGTGATAAACTCCCTTCTTTAACACTGTTGAATTTGCAAAGTTGTCAACTTATTATACGCGAATTATACGGCAGATTTTATAAAATTTGGATACGTGCGTTTTATACGCGAATTATACGGCTGTCCGTATAATTCGCGTATAATACGCGTTTTTACTAACTAGGGTGGACAACTCCAACACAACCGACTTAGAGAATTTAAAAACGTAAAACTCTCTTACTTTAGTTGGTAACTCTATTTCGGGTCCTATTCCATTGTCACTAGGAGAACTTGTGTCTTTGCAATATCTTTATCTTTCCAACAACAAACTGAACGGGAACTCTTTCTGAAAATCATTTTGCCAATCTTACAAGATTGCTGCGTTTGGATGCGTCTGAAAATTCATTAACGTGGAATGTCAGTTACAACTGGGTTCCTTCTTTTAAACTTGAAGTTCTAGGATTGAGTGCGTGCCATTTAGGGCCTCGATTTTCGATGTGGCTTCATTCACAAAAGCTGTTGGTTTATATAGATATATCCAACCCAGGAATTGTAGACACTCTTCCCAACTATATATGGGATGATTCCAAATTTAAATGAAAATACTCAACTTGAAGTTGTTGACTTGAATTCAAATAAATTATCAGGTCCATTGCCACCTATGCCGTCCAATATTCATAGACTGGATCTTTTCAACAACACTTTGTCAGGTTCAATTTTCCAGTTCTTATGTTATGAGATGAATGAGTCAAAAGAGTTTGATGCAAATTCTCATCCTTAAAGACAACTTTTTACATGGAGAATTGCCTGATTGTTGGACGAAATGGAAGCACTTAGTTCTCCTAAATTTAGGTAACAATAGATTTACCGGAAACGTTCCAAGCTCTATTGGAACTTTAAGTTATCTTCAGTCCTTAAACCTTCTCGCAAAAACAACTTTTCTGGAATAATTCCTGTTTCACTTAAAAATTGTACAGAGATAGTGGCACTTGATATTGGTGAAAATAAGTTCGTTGGAAACATCCCTAAATGGGTTGGAAAGAGATTTTCAGGAATGAGGATTCTCAACCTTATATCAAACGAGTTTTATGGTCTTCTACCAGAGGAACTCTGCCAGCTCTCTTCTTTACAAATTTTAGATTTGCCCATAACTATTTGTCTGGAATCATACCAAGATGTATCAAAAACTTCAGCGCCATGACGATAATGGGAAATAATGAAGAAATGGATATGGATTATGGATCTGATGGGGTTTTTTCTTCGTTTTATGTGGAAGATGCATCACTTGTGAAGAAAAGTCAAATGGCCGAATATAACACAATTCTGAAGTTTGTGAGAGTTATAGACCTTTCAAGAAATAATTTGAAAACTTGCAGCATTGTAATCATTGAATCTATCGCATAACAGTTTTACTCGTAGAATTCCTGAGCACATTGGTGCTATGAATTCACTAGAGTCCATTGTTTTCTCTGCAAATCAATTATCCAATGAAATCCCACAAAGCATTTCAGATTTCACCTTTTTGAGTTACTTGAACTTATCCAACAATAATTTAACTGGGGAAATTCCTTTAAGGACTCGAGTTCAAAGCTTTAACGCATCTTGTTTTACTGGCAATGAACTTTGGTCTTTCACTTCCAAATAACTGTACTGTGACTAGAGTCGACGGTGAGCCGTGTCGGCCCGGTACGAAAAAAGCACAGCATAGCATAGTATGAAAATATGCAAGTCGTGGGCCTTAAAAAAAAGCCCGTGGGCTGGCACGGCACAGTACAAAAAAAATAAAATTATAAAATAATAAAATTAATAGCTATTTTTTAAAATAGATGTTATTCCCCTGCACTAAGGGGTAACGGCTATTTTAAACTTAAAATCGTATTGCTGAAGCCATTATGTGTATAAAAGATTGAGTGGCAGCAAGTTCAAGTTTCAAAATCGTGTTATTGAAGATATATTTGAAAATTTTAAGAATTTAAAAATTAATGAAAATAAAGATGTATACTAATTATTAATCCTAATTTCTAGGTTTATATTTATAATTTATAATTATAACTTATTAGTAATAAAACGTGTTGAAATTCAATTAATATTTCAATATCTCATTATTTTATTATATTTCATAGTGATTATATATTTTTAATTAATATAAATATAAAATGTCACTAAATATAACATATAAAATATTTTTATAATAATTATTAATAATAAATCAAAATTACCATAATTTATAAATATTAAAAAAAATATTTTCACAAAGCACGTGGGCCGGCCCATGGCACGACACGATATACAACGGGCTGTGCTGTGGGCTTTCAAATTTCGTGGGCCGGCACAACACGACAGGGCACGAAACTATATGAGCCTTGGCATGACACGGCCCACGACACGATAGGCTTTGAATTTTTAGGCACGACACGACCCACCGCCACCTTTAACGATGATTGTTTCAACATTGAATGATCAAAACAATGTAGAGAAAGATGGTAATGAAGATGAAGTGGACTGAATCTACGCAAGCTTGGCACTTAGATTTGTCTTCGGATTCTCGTGTGTAATAGGACCTCTACTCGTCAACCTTGTATTATCAATTCTTGAATCGCCTATAGAACAAAATTTGAAGTGTTGTAAGAAAATATTACTAGACCCCTTTTTATATCGGCCTCAATTTCATGTCGACTCCTTCATCAACTTCCTTAAATACAATGTTTGGTAAGTTGTGACCTTTAACTCAGATTTCAAATTCATGAAGATAAATATAAACATTGTTTCAAAACATATTAGCCATCGTTCACGATGGCAATAGTATAGTTTATGTAATCTTATGCTCTATTGATCTGCAGATGAAATCAGCAGAGAACCTTCAAATCCTGTTTCTTTAGTGGAGGGAGATGAGTAGCCAATTGAGCCCATCTCTGATATTGGTATCCACAAAATCAATGATCCCATGTTTAATAATGGAAAATGACCATTGTAAATACCTATTTTGTTCGGTGAATTTATGATCTGGTTCATTATTTAATCAATTTTGAGTACGTTTTGAGAATTAAATATGGAAAAAGAATTAACTTCACAAGGTCCATGATGATCAAATTCGTAAAAGCAGTAATAAAACTAAAGAAAGAGTGAACAACTAAATCACCAAATTTTGATGGAAAGTTGGAAGTTTTTCTTAAGTCATTTTATACAACTATCATTCATGAAAAAGGATTCCGGACTAAATCCTTTTCTCATCCTAATGCATGTGAAAAACTCTAAAAATAACAATAAGGTAAGAATTTGATCAACTCCTGCAGAATAACTCCAGGTACACGGTGAGGGTCAATGTCATTGCACGGCGAATCTCCATCTTCATGTGAAGTTGTGGGCGTTGCACAGTGAATCTCCATCTTCCAGTGAAAAAGCCATATAGATATTAGAAAATCACCACGTCCATGGGCTAGCCAACATATTTGTATCGCACAACTTGCCACCATAAAGATGGCAAAGTTTGAACAAACATAAAAGAGATATAAGAGACATGAGTTGCTGAAAAGAAGCTGGGAAGACAACGATATATAAATTATCATTCCTACAGCAGACAACATTCTGCAGACGTATATTTCTTCTACTGGTTAAAGTTGAGCATAAAAATGGCACGTCCATAGCTGCAACCACAACCATTTCCCATACATTCTCTGCCTAGATGTTGTATGGCTTAATATCAGGCTTGAGAATCATCCCTTGCCATTACTATCAGTTGAACCCTCTTCTGAAAGCAATTTTCTTCATTTTCTTATTCAGAGTTTTATCAAAGTCGCAGCTTGATAGTGATAACACCTGCTTCAGACAGACTGTCACTCCACACTCCTTTACGCGTGCATACCGAGGTTTGATCCTCTCTTCTAAACTGTAACCGAAATACGTAGGGAACTTTACCAGCTCAGACTTGTCGTAGTCCATGGTCAAAAAGAACTCCCATTTGGGTATCAAGTTCTCTTTCAAGCTGAAAATATACAGAGATGTATATCTAGAAATCATGATCCCAATTTCCTCCATCCTGAATCCCCTCTCGATGAAAAATTCTGTCACAGGCTTAAGGTTGGCCTCCATACTAAGACCAACACTCTGTGGAGATCGCTGGAGAAGAACGGAAACGTCAACTCCTAATGATCGGAAATACTCAGCTGTTGGTCGTAGCTTGTCTTCAACACTGTAACTTATAATGTTTGGGCACCGAGTTAAGATCTTACCTATGCTCTCGGCCAAGATGCCCATCTCATAGAGGAAATCTACAGTTGACTTAATCTTTTGCTTGCTACAACTGAGAACTGTGGGACAACGGCGTATAATTTTAGCCCATTGTTTCTTGTCCACACCCAAGTCTTCTAAGAATATCATGGTGGGTATTAGGTTTTCAGAGAGACTAAGTCCACACAGTTTAGGACTTTTAGTAAGAATTACAGGAATATCTGATTTAGCTACCCCAAGATCAAGAAGAAACTCAACAAAGGGCTTGATTTTTCCCTCCAAGCTGTAGTAGGAAAAAGCAGTAAATCTGCGTGTAATTAACTTAATCCGCTCAAGGTCCATGCCAAGCTCTATGAGGTAGAGAACTTGAGGGCGGAGATCTCCCTTAGGCCCTGCCTCACTCACTCGAGAGACAGCTTTTAGCCTCTTGGAGTCAACAGTGGGATGGGATGGAGAAACTTGCGCTGCTGGCCTTTCCTTAACGGGTGCATTAGGAAAGTTCTCAACTAATTCTACCAGAATGTTCCCATGCTCTTCGTGCAGAGTTTCAAGGTATGGTATAAGGGCATCCCTAATCTCGAGAGTTGCGAACTCTCTTCCTGCACTTTCAATTGAAATTTGATAAGCTGGGGAACATGACAAGAGAAAGAGACACGGACAAAACAGTTATCACAAAAAAAGTAAAATGTCGCAATCAAACCTGCTAGATACCGAGATTTATGAACTAAATGGAGCCTTGAGACAAGATGGTCGATAAAAAGGTCTGATTTATTGATGGTTCTTGCAGCAACGGCCTTGCTCAGACCTTGTTTCTTCATGAATAAGGTTAAGACAGCCTTGGCTTCTTCCTTTTCAGCCGCTAATGAGGTTGGAGATACTACTCTTAAGCTGAAAGATCCATCTACCCCAGACTCAGCTGTCATCATATAAAGTATAAACACAGTGTGAGTGGTACAAAACAAAGGAATATATATAAATGCACTCAATTTTAGGTTTATAGGAGGTAGGAACAGCACTAGAAAGACTATTAGCATACCAAACTTTGCTCGGCAAAAGAAGAGCTTCTGAGGAAAAGTAGCTCGACTCCTGCAGAAAGATGAAAGGAAGTCAATGCACTGCTTAACAAAAATTGAGAAGAATAAAAAAAAACTGCAGCAAAATGGAGGATTGGGGATTAGAAGATTCTTAGTTCAACAAAACTTATCAAATGCAATTTCCTTGCACTTCAGAGACTTCACAAATTCTCTACACTATCACAAGACAGAAAGTATTACTTGAAATTCCAAGACACTCTTAACTTTACTTCAAACCTTTTGAATTAGAAATCTATTAACCTGAACTAAACTATGAATGACATCCCAAAACACTAAAATCACAAAATTAAAATCAAGCATGCATCATTTCCCCAAATACCTAAAACCTTTAATTTCAATTCCTACCAACTCCAAATATAAACAAATGTTACAATATTAATAAATAAAAATAAAAAGCTACCTTGCAATTGAGAAATTCCCTCCAAAAATAGAAGAGAACTCTAAAGATTGAATTGCACGAAGGGCCTTCATCTTCAACTTCAAGAACACGAACGCGAACACAAACCTGCATAAAAGTGAGAAATTTCATGTTAAATTTAAATTCTTTAGATAAATGGTCTGAACCACTATGAAAATCAAAAAACAAAAGCAACCCAGAAACCATATTCTCCTAAGATACACATAGATAACTTAAACTGAAAAAACCAATAATATTTGGCTTAATAAGATCAAAAGACTAGACATTTCATGTTAAAATTAAAATCTTTAAGTAAATGGACTGAAACTCCATCAAAATCAAAAAACAAAAGCAAACCAGAAACCAAATTCTTCTAAGGTACAAAATAAAGAACGTAAAACTGAAAGAACTGAATAACATCTGGCTCAACAAGCTCCAAAGACTAGACATTTCATGTTAAAATTAAAATCTTCACCTAAATGGACCGTACCTCCATCAAAATCAAAAAACCAAAGCAACCCAGAAAACCAAATTCTTCTTAGCCACACATAGAGAACTTAAAACTGGAAGAACTGATAACACTTGGCTCAACAAGTAGCAAGAACTGAAAGAAAAAATCAGAATGCGGATCTCACCAGCAATGGAGAACGGGGTTTGATTCTGCAGCAGTAGCGGCCACTGTTCACTTGAGTTCACCGAGAATGAAGAAAATAATTTTTTAATGGAGGGTTTTGTATCCACTTTTGTATGAGTTTTTTTATTTATTTATATAAATAATTTAGAAATTCCTGACCTCGTCTAATGAAACCGGATTCGAAACTGAAATCCCGTCAACCTTGGTCACTTGGTTATTTGTTGTGTGTGATTTTTTCACCAAGCTCAGAGAATCACAAGGATATAATTTGATCTAGAACTAGCTCTACTTCACTGATTGTTTGATCCAGCATAAGCTTGTTGAGATATAGCTCGACCCAACACAAATTAGTCGTGAACAATCCGAATAATCATTCGACCTTTTTTCAGATAACTTCATATCCTAGATATCTCTAGAATTATTAGATTAGCAGCAGTCCTTGCGCAATCACAGCACACAATCACGAGAATATCGGATTTGTATTTCAATTTAATTGTAATCCTTTTAATTTCACTCTCTCATTTGTACAAAATTTGTATATAAACCCCCTCAAACGATGAGGAAGGGGTTGGACAATATTCCTAGAATTACTATTGTAAGCTCTCACAACAAATATAAAGAGCAGTGGACATAGGCTCAAGAGTTAATCTCGTCAAACCACTTTAAAATCCTTTTTGTCATTTACTTTACTACATTCATTATTCCTTCATTGCTGATTTTCATTAAATCACACGCACATCCATTCCGGTTCCGGCAGGGTCAATCAAAATTCTCTTGTTGGTGCAGATCTTTGTATCAACATTTGAGAGCTAGAAGGAGGGCCCTCCGCTAACATCTCAGAAATTCCGACAAACAGCCATAACGATTTAACCACTTCAGGCCCACGATGGTGCATACAAGATAAAAAACCACCATTGGAAACCAAGACGATATGGAAACCACGACGATATGGAAACCACCCATCAGGAGGTGCAACAGGATGCCGCTGGGCGTCGACCACCATTGCCGCCATCTCAGCATGCCACGAATAACCAGGGGGCAGGAACGTCAAACCTTGAAAATGGCCAGTTGGTGGAGATGATCAAAACTATGTTGCATAAGCAGTGCAACAGAACGTGGTTGAGATGAGAAATCAGCAACCAACTGCCTAGAACCTTGACCAGTCGCCTTTCACTAATCCTACCCTGATGGGTCGGACTTCAACCGGGGACCAGTCTAGCTCATCGGCGCCAAGTGGCAACTGACATCCTCGACGTCAACGGGTGCACTCCGCCCATGAGCGTGAGTCTCACAGACAAACTAACCCCGGGAGGCCGCCGGGGAAACAACCAATGGTGAAAGCGAAGGTAATGGTTGCCCACGAGACGCTCGACCTACCTGGCAGAATCCTCAACGTCAGCATGCCGGTCTTAACCCACGCCCAAGATAAGCCCGATCCTCGCAAGCTTGCGAGACGAGTAATGTGTACCAATCTTGCAATGACCGACGTTTCGGTTATAACCGACATCATGAGCAACGCACTGACGAGTATGATAACACTTATCAACCAAGCCATCGTGACTCAACCTTGCGCATCAATACGCGTAATGGAAGGGGTTCACAAGAGATAGATTTGCGAACTCACTTGCTCAAGGTAAGGTTGAACAAAGCCAGCCAGGGCAATCATAATAAAGACTTAGATCGTGTGCAGAGAATGCTCGACGATCTAAGGGCCCGCTAGAATGGTGCAGCAAAAGAAATAGTGAGTTCCCCCTTCATAGAGGAGGTTCTCTAGGCCCCACTTTCATAGGGATTCAGGGCGCTAGAGAATAAGTTCGACGGGAAAGGAGACCATAGAGACCACCTCGACAATTTCAATGACCTGATAGAGCTGAACTAGGTCTGTGACCTATCGAAGTGTCGCTGCTTCGCGGTCACATTGGTAGGGGATACCAAGAGGTGGTACAAAAGACTCAAGGCGAACTCCATCAGTCATTGGCAACAATTCTCCTCGCTGTACTTGCAGCAATTCCAGGCGAGGAGACAGTTTGCGATGTCGCTCAGCTACTTAAGCAATATTTGTCAGGAGAGAGACGAAACCTTGACCTCGTATTTAACAAGGTTCCAAAACGAGCAAGCAAAGGTCGCAGATGCACCCGAAGAGTCAATCCGAACTTTGCTAATTGTAGGCATCAGGCCGAACACGGAGCTGTGGAAAGAGCTCCAAAGTGAAGACCATGTGAGCCTGGCCAAGTTTTACCAAATGGTTGCAAAACATCAGCAAGTAGAAAGCTCGCTGGCAGCATTGACCAGAAGCTCGACGCATGGATCCCTAGACAGGCGACGAGATCACCCATCAGATAAGCACGGAGGCTAAGACTACAATGATAGGGACCGCAATAGGTCCCAAAAAAGACAAAGAACAGATAACTGTGGGGACAGGTAGCCTTTCTCGCGGTATGCAGAATATACCCCCCTCACGCAAGACGTGGCCCACATCTACAAAGTCTCCCGTGAGGCAAAGAGATTGTCCGCTCTAGAAAGGATGAGGGGGGCTCTAGGTAGAAGAGACCGAAAATATTGTCGATACCACCGGGACATCAGACACAACACCAATGAGTGTCAAGCTTTAAAAGATGCTATCGAAGACCTGATACGAGGGGCTACCTAAAGAAATTTGTCAATGAGGCACATCCTCACGAAAGCACAGGCGAGCAAAACAACCAGGTCCAACAAGCCCTAGTAAACCTCAACAATGAGTCTTGGTAGGCATGATCAATAGGGGGCCTGACATAGAGGGGAGCTCAAGGCGCCCTAACAAGCAGTACGCTCGAAAGGCCAGAACAGATTTTGTCCTCAGATAATGAGCTATGAACAAAAGCCGCCAAAACGGCCTAGACAAGAGAGCGAGGTGGTAGGAATCACGATCGAAGAGTGTGAAGAATCCCCTCGCCATATTCATGACGTAATCGTAATCGCGGCCAGAATCAACAATGCTAGAATACTAAGGGTGATGGTCGGTAATGGGAGTGCAATGAACATAATTTTCTTGGGAGCTTTTCGAGGAATGAGGTTCACGGAGAGAGACCTGAGGGCGTGCCCTTCGCCACTCTACGGATTTATCAAGGACAGCCTGGTTCGCAAGGGGACAGTCAACCTTTCCGTGACTCTTAGGGGCAAAACTCAAGATCAAGACAATAATGACCAAATTCCTAGTGGTAGACTTCCCAACCGCATACAATGTCATCCTTGAAAGATCGATCTTGAATGATCTGAGCGTAGTCACTTTAGTGTGTTGCCAGGCAATAAGGTTCTCAACACCTGGATGGGTCGCGACGATCAGAAGCTGCAGAAAGGAATCTCAAGAATGTTACAACCAGGCCATAAATGCTACACAAAAATGGCCGCTCCTAAGGACAATGGTTATCACAGAATTCGAGTCAAACCCCGGGCCTCTCGAAGATACCATAAATCCTCGCATCCATAGAGAAGAACTCGCAACAAGGCTGATGGAAGAGCTATGATAAATATGTGTTAGTGAGGAAGATCTAACTCGCATACTGAAAATTGGCAGCAATTTGAGCAAAGAAATGGTCGATAATCTAGCGGAGTTTCTGAAGAAAAACCTCTACATGTTCACATGGGTACATGTGGATATGGTAGGGATCAGCCTCGAGGTAATGTGTCACAGACTGAACATCAACCTAAAAGCTTGGCCAATAAGACAAAAAAGAAGATCTATGGATGCAGAGTGCTCTAAAGCGCTCAAGGATGAAGTTGACAAACTCTTGAACATCAACTTCATTAGGGAAATGAAGTACCCAAATTGGCTCGCCAACCCAGTCTTGGTTAAGAAGTCGAATGGCAAGTGGCGAACTTACGTCAACTTCATAGATCTGAATAAAGCCTATCCAAACGACAACTTTCCGCTACCACGGATTGACCAACTAGTAGATGTGATAGCTGAAAACACACTACTTAGCTTCATGGATGCGTACTCGAGATTTAACCAAATCCTAATGTATCAGCTTGATGAAGAACATACATTTATAGTCTGACCGTGGGATTTATTGTTACAGGGTTATACCGTTTGGCCTAAAGAATGTCGGGTGACCTACTAGCGCTTGGTGAACAAGATGTTTGCCAACCAAATCAGCAAGACTATGGAGGTATACATCCACGACATGCTCATCAAGTCAAAGGTCATCAAAAGCCACATTGAGCATCTGGGTGAAATGTTTGACGTCTTCAGAAAATATAGAATGGAGTTCCATCCCTTAAAATGTGCTTTCGGAGTAAGCTTGAGAAAATTCTTGGGTTTCCTTGTAAATCAACAGGGTGTCGAAGCCAACCCAGAGAAGAGAAGATTCAAGCTCTACTAGATATGAAAAGCCTGACCAACATAAGGCAGGTACAGAGTTGACAGGGCATGTGGCTGTACTCAGCAGGCTTGTTTCTTGGGCCATAGATATATGCTTACCATTCTTTGAAACCTTGAAGGGGAAGAAAAGTTTCAAGTGGACAGAGGAGTGCGAGAGAGCCTTCCAGGAGATAAAGAGACATTTAGGACAACCACCTTTGTTGTCAAAGCCCATCCAGGGTGAGCCACAGCTATTGTATTTGTTGGTATCAAAGTTCGCTATCAGCACAGCATTGGTACGCGAAGAGGGAGGAGTACAGTGGCTGGTATACTATGTCAGCAAGAGGTTACTCGATGTGGAGACGAGATACACTGAAATGGAGAAGCTCACCTACGCCCTTGTCATCGCCGCCAAGAAGCAGCGACCTTATTTCCAGATGTATTCCATTCACGTGTTAACCAACTTTTTGTTGAAGAAAATAATGCAAAAGCTCGAGACATCGGGTAGATTGATCCAATAGACAATGGAAATGAGTCAACACGATATCAAGTGCATCCCGAGAATGGCAATCAAAGGTCAAGCGTTGGCGAATTTCATATCAGAATTCTCCTATCAGCCGGGAGGAGAACTAAGCCCGCTAGAGGCAAATACCTCGAAAGAAGTCGAGCAGCAGAAGCCAAAGCTCAATGACCTATGGCAATGGACTTTGTATGTGGATGGCTCCTCGAACGAAAAGGAGGCA